GTGGTAGTGGTAGGGGTAGTGGTAGTGGTAGTGGTAGTGGTAGTGGTAGTGGTAGTGGTAGTGGTAGTGGTCGAGTTTCTGTGCGCCAGTAGGCCCATACGCGGGTGATTACTGATCATCTGATACAGTGGTTTTCGTGTCTTTTCCCGCCAGAAATGATTATTTTAATGTATTTCTTGGTTTCTTTGGTCACCTGATCTTTAGGTTTTAGAGTTCAGTCACGAAATTTTAAGCTTGCTCTTTTTCTCGTCCTATGTGGAGTCGTTTTCAAGTATTTTCCAGCTTAACTGTTGCGGTTGCACGGTTGTTTGTGAATCGAATAAGCATAGTCTGAGTATTTCGCTTGTGAAGTGCTGAATGGGCCGATCGACGACAATAAAGAAGGACAAAGAACTAGAGGTTTGTGACTGCTCTCGTGTTTCTGCGTGTTTTGGATTTACGTACATCACAGTGGGCTCAATAATCCGGGCAATATTTGTTCCCTACTCTCGCTTCAAGAACCATCAGCGATAAGTTTTCTTTTATTTACTGGATTCTGTTATAAAACCCTTTAGACTGCTGTTGCTGTGTCAAAAAATTTAATCTCCATCACGTTTCTTACTAGTGAAAAATGTACCCCCCATAAAGGGGCTTGTTTTAAAATAGTACCCCCCAAAAAAACCACCGTCCCCCCTACCCCCCTCCTGGGACGTAATAAACGATCGGTCCCTGAATAGTGCTCAAGTTAGCCTAAATATCACTGACTCGACAGTGGGTAATGTTAGCTCTCAATATTTGCGTGAGTTAAATCTTACAGATAGCCGTATCCCACATTGACTCTTATTACCCGTAGTGCCATTTCGTCATTTGGCCTTTTCTGCCATTTCGTCATTTCTGCCTTTTGTTGCTGATACCACCAGTAGATTTATATTTAAAAAATGCGTTCCTGCTTTCCATTTCCTTACGAGAGAAAGGATAATGTATTGCGGATGTACTGCGCATGCCCGTCTGAAACGGTTGGGTAAAATTTTGTAGCACTGAAAACTGATGCTGTTTAGACAGAAAAGTTGAAGACATTTTCTAGACCTTTGCAAGACTGACTAAATGTCTAGAGAGTCTCTCAAATGTTTTAAAATACATACATTCTCATTCATTCTCATGGTCCTCTAGTATGTCTTGCATGGAAGGGTATGAAAGGTTGATCATGCTTATCGATAAGAGAATAGATGAGGAGAACACATTCAAATAAATAACTTGATTGAACGATCCACAGCGCATCATTGCGAAAACCGTACTGCGGACGAGATCCTCATCTTAGCTATTTTCCTTTGACAGTTTACACGTCCATCTCGGAGTGAGATGTGGATTTTGCCTTTCCTGTTGTTTCTTGTGGCTTTGAGTGGATCGGCCAGTAATCATGACCTGTGTGACAAAGATAAAGGCCCAACAGGCATCATCAAATGCTCAAATTTCGAGGGTTACCAGGGAGAGTATCAGTGGGCAACCTGCCTGACATCAGACCATATCCTAGAAAAAGATGGCCGCGATCACATCTGTGCAGACCGCACTGGACGCTATTGCTGGCACAAGTGCATGTCCGAGGTACATCGCCAAAGTTTTGGCAACGTCTCAGACGATTGCGCCTGTGATCCATTCCAGCTCCTTCACAATACCTCCCTGCCTCAGCAGTGCTACAGCCCGGCTGGAGATTCCTGTTACTGGTATCGTAACTGCTTGGAAAAGAAACATTTTTGCAAACCTCCAAGCAATGCTTACGTCGTAAGATATGCTGAGAGGTTCTGCCGAGTGTTCGAGGAACAAAAAGCCAAATTAAGTGCAGACGCGCAGAAGTGGATGGAAGCTGTCCGTAAATGTCAACAGGTTGCTATGGTACCATTGCTGAGGGANGGTTCTGCCGAGTGTTCGAGGAACAAAAAGCCAAATTAAGTGCAGACGCGCAGAAGTGGATGGAAGCTGTCCGTAAATGTCAACAGGTTGCTATGGTACCATTGCTGAGGGACTCAGAAGCACTAACGTGTAACGAAATAAAAGAGAAAGCACTTGCTTCTTACACTCAATGCTACTTGAATCCAGGTGAAGGCGCCAAGTCGATTTGTGATGTCCATTGTTGGCAACACTTCAAGATATTCTGGGCAATCAAGGGATCGTTCCTCAAGCTGGATACAGCTTGGGAGTCTCTAAAAGGATTGTGGAACATAGGAGCCCAGTGTTCTTCGCCCAACAGCCAAATGGACTGTTTTGAACGAAACTTTAAAAATGTGATCAAACTTTTAAAGCTAAATGTGGAAAATCTCATGCGACGAAAGAGGCGTTCACCAGATTCCCTTTCAAATGTTGATATTTTAAGTCGGTTCACAAATGGAGTTGGTGAAGCTATTGCAAGTAAATTGAAATGGAACAGGGATGTGATGGACTGGGTTGCCTACACTTCAAATTGGGTTAGTCTTGGTAATGTGGACATCATCATAGCCATGGCAGACAGAAAAGCCCTGGGTATCGTCACTGCGCCCGTCGAATCAGTTAACTTGGAACAGACTATTGACGACTTTGTTTCAGCCATAAATACTAGTAGTCTTCGACCGCAGGTGGATGGATATAATGTTTGGATCAAGTCTTTGGCCTTGTGCATCGATAAATCTTGCGTGCAAACTCGGACACTTACAGTTTCAAATAAGCCTCCTTGGAGTGGTGCCACTCGAATTTCTCACGGTACCGTTGGCGTGTTTGCAGTCATTGCCATGCTGATCATGTTGATAGACAAACTGTTATGCTAACGTGAAGTCAGATCATGGTTATGTTGATCGCCTTTTTCAACAAGCTGGCGACTTTCATATACAATAAGTGTACGTTATTAACCACCCAAACACTGTTGTCAACAGTGTAATTTTAACATTCTTTTTCTTTGTTTATTTATATCATTACTCAAGAGGGGCGAAGAGTGCTTTGACTAGTCCCACGTGGCAAAAAGGATATTCGTGATTTATTTTAGGGCTGTGAATTTTAAAATCGGTTAGGGATTTCAGCATGGATAAAACTATGAATATGCTTAGCATCAGGTACTGCCTTAAGGGTAACACGTGAAGAAAAGACGCAAGATAGCTTACTGTATTGTTGGTTTGGAACAATTAGGCATGAACTTTTAAGGATGAAAGCAGTCGATGGTAATATTTGATTGTAATTAAAGTCGCTTTAGCTTTCTGTGATTTGTTAGTGTGAAGCAATTCCATCACTTGGTTTTCCAGTGGGGAATATCGAACATGTTCAACATGCTAACCTTTGAATATATATCGCCTGGTCAGTTTCTTGAAATTTACTCGACCCACGATGTAGAACGCTTATTTGGAATTCGTTTGAAACGATGCAGGCCTTCAGTAAACTACAGATCAGCGAGCTCTCGCGGTTGTAAGAGCAAGTTGGTTTTTATTATAGTCACATTTTATGCTGTGAACACCCTTAATTAAATTGAACTGATGCAAATTTCAATGCTAATTTAAAAAAAGCAAACCTCGCAGTAATTAAAATTAAAATGACTTTTGCGAGTCCTCCAGGGCTCAAAAGCCACAAGTTTGAGTTGTTTTCTCTATAACGTTATTGACAGGTCGCTATTAACGAGTCTATCAAAATTTTCATTAACAGGCAATACAAATTGTGGAATTTCTGTAGGCAAGTTTGGCAGATCTAGGCAGAATTAGTGCAATAGAACCACGATTGAAAGGCTATTGAAATATGGGACTGATTCCATGGTTTGTATGCTTTCTCAATTTTCGGTGGGTGGGGCTGGGCCGGGGAGAGGGTGAGGAACAACTCTCCTTGGAACACTTGCGCGTCATACTTACTACTGTTTGTTTTCTCATAGATTATTTCAACTACCGTTTCCCCAACGCTAGAAACCGTAGTCAACAATGTCGTTAAGAGAGTTGAACGGTTGAACAGTAGGATTCGCTGAAGTGCCCTTAACATTAGGTTATCACGGTCACCGTAGTAACAGGTGTCGGGATTCTGTTCGTTTCGTCAGTTTCAGTATAGATCGTTGCGTGTTTCGTCTAATAAAGACGGCATTGCATCGTCAAGTTTCAAAATGCGAAGGTCTGATTTCGTGCTTAAATAACTATGTTGTATATGCGCATGATTATAAGTCGACATGCCTACACATTAAATTGAAAAGAAGTCCATGCATATACTTGGCTAGACCATGTGGACCTACGAAGCGTGTCCGTTTCGCGCACCGAAATCACGAAAAATTGAAAAGCCCCTTCTTCATTTCCTAAGTTTAAATTGATTTCGAATAATTGTAAACCGGTGAGTCAAATTCGTTGCATAAAGTTTGAAGGTTTTGTAATGTCTGCAATGGTCCAAATATTTTCGTAAAGCGCCACGTTGCGAAATATTTGTTTAAGCTGACACTCGAAAATCGCACAAACTGACCCTATGCACCTTCACAAACTGACACCTTTTTAAACGTCTATAATAGTGTCCTGGAGGTTACTATTTAAATTTCTTTCATTTCTTTTCTGTCTCAGATTCACCTATCACTGATTGTAGGTAAGAAGTGTTGATTGCGCCGCACTTTGAGAGCAAAGGGTTATAAAATGTCGCACACAGCGATATACTGTTTGCATAGTATACAGCCCGCCAGAGTGAAACAGAAGACTGCGCCCAACTGAGGGAGAAAAAGGTCCCGAAATTTTGGAGTAGCTAGGCGGTGCTCTAATTCTGAAGACTGTAACCCTGTTCCAGACCGAAACGAGTAATATACTATTGTATTTCATCGATCTTGTTCAGATCTGCTCCAAGAATCCATAACCTATTTTAGACCCAAATATAATAAGAATTTATGTCAAACACACCATTTTCCAACCTCGTTCTAGGGTCTCCCATCTTCCCGCCCCACGGGAGGATCGAGGATGGTGATTTTCAGTCACCAAAAAAGTTCCTTCCGAAAACCATACACAATAACAGACTGGATGGCACATAATATAGCCAAATTTCGGACCAAAATGAAACTAAAGCCACGTTCTTTGTTGACTTTATACCCTCTGTAAGGAAATGTTGTCAGAGTACTGCTCGCGGTTAATACGTTGCGTGATCTGGATTTTGCCTGTCAATCAGTCGTACATGTAGCATATTGCTCAATCGAATCACTGTTGTGTTAACGAGCTGGTCAGAGCTGTTATCATTCTGCTAAGTTTATATCTGACCGAATTCGTAAAAACATGCCTGCATTGACTCAAAGACAGTCACGTTTTTAGCTACAGTTACCACATTAGTTGACCAGGAATTGTCAATTGCAGCTGCAGAGGACTGATACATTCACTTCCCCACAGCTGTCGGGTGAGACCTCAACTATTGCAGGAAATCCTTTCTGGCACGAAGTCGATGAGTGGGACGTTTATTGTTTCATTCGTTCTGGGGAAATTTTTTAATTCAATTTTCTAAATTAATGCTACATCGACTTGTTTTACCTTTTGGTCATTCCAAACAATATTTACCAACGACTGCTCTTCGTACTTTCCACGAAAACGTTAAAACATTTTCTAATGCTTTTTTTGTTGTTTATTTTGGTCCTGGACCACCTCTCGATAAAATATACAAATGAATGGTAGTCTTCCGTTTGAATGCACCTTTCATAAGATGTAACTTGGGCGATCAGTTTTTATCTTTAAAAACTGAAAAACGCTACAAACTGTACAAAACAGAACAACGCAATTATCACCTGTCCAGTGGCTTTAATTAGTTGTATATAGGCGAATCTTTGCTGACGTCATTGTTTGCATTTGTCCTCATTAGCATACGACTTGACTCATAGAAGCCGTGGCCGTATATATGAACTAAATGCAAAAGTTGATAAAGCTGGTTAAGTTGAGCAATTTGTGCAATTTTCAGCTCTTTACAAGCAAAATTGAAGGAAATATCAGCCATCAAAAACTGCCAAATTGCTGTGTGGCAAAATACTTAAGGAGCCGTACATTTCTATGTAAAATTTCGAGTTTTTAGAAGAGAATTTCTCCGAAACCATTCCGTGTATTGAGCTCAAATTTTCAGAGGTAACTGAAAGTGTTCTGCCCTTTCAATATTCAGAGTTTTTCTTTCATTAGCGTCATCAGACAGTGATAAGCAAATGTTAATGAGGCAAAAAGTGTAAACAAAGATTTGCCTATTCCGTCGTACACACAATGAAATCAACTTGTGCATACTCACGTTTGATAATGGATTATCCGTATTTACTTAACTTGGAATGCTTAGCTTCTTTTTTATAGTTTATACCGGCAGGCAACAGCATTTGTTTTCACATTGACTGAGCTGAGNACATTCCATCTTTCGACATGCTATGTAAACGGCTGAAAGACCGTTTACCTGTGAAACTAGCAATTTTCCCAGTTATTAGCGGAACAAATGACAAGTATATGATAATTACTGACCTCAAATGAATGAAGATTGTGGAATTCCGATTTATGGGATAATTCAAACGATTTTAGTGTAGTCGATCGGCTCTCAATAGTGACTTCTGGTGGAATTGAGCCGCTACCGCTCAGTTAATGTTTGAAAGAGGTAAACATTCAAAACAGTCGATTTATCCCTCACAGAATTTTTTCTTGATACTCCTAGCCTAGTTTGATGTCAAATAAATCCATCTTTCATGACTAAAAGTTGAATTTGACTGTAAAGAAGTCAGTTGTGCTTACATTTTGACATAGGCCAGGTTACATAGCATGTCGAAAGATGGCATGTCGAGAGATAGTCACTATGCACGTAACAATGAAAGCGGGTGTAAAAGTGAAAAGGGCATTAAATCTTGTTGAAAAGGAAATATATCAGAAGAGTAACATTGCTTTTGGAATAAGATCAACTGGTTTGTTATGTCAGTTCTGTTATTTTTAAACCATGTATATGGATGATAGGTTTAGGTTGTTAGGAGGGTGCTAAACCAGATCAGGACAGTAGTTCAAAATGCCGATTAAAAACACTGATCTGCAACAAATGAATTTCAACATTTATTCACAGATTATTTTTTCTTAAGAGCATCTTGCTCAGCCTTCTCCCTGGCCCTCTTCTCTCGGATGCCAATCAACCTGGCATTAGCACGTGCAATACGCATGCTACGGAATACACTAGTATTCTTTTCCTCATCAGTGATCTTGCGAGCCTTGATGGGTAGACGTGACTGTTGGATGGGCATAACTGCACCCTGGAGTTGTACTGCATTGGCCAGCTCAGCAGGCTGAAATTTGGGAGAAAT